TGCTGCTATGGGAAAGGGTGGGGTGGGGGGAACCTTGGGCTCCAGAGCCACAAGGGCGTCTTCTTTGGCTAGCCTGGTCGACCAGACGGGGGACGGGGGCGGGGACTAGAGGAGATTGGGGCGGGACCCGCTTGCTTTCCTCCTACTCTGCGGGCTCCTAGGGAAAAGCTCCTCCTGAGCCTGAGGCCGCGGCGGCCGAGCCCTGTTAAGGGACTGGTGTACCCCTCTTCCCCCCGAGGTAAGAACTCTCCCTCCCTCTACGCCTGCGGGTCTCGTTCGCTGCGCGGGTGGGACTGAATAAGAGGAAGCCTCTGGGGCCTGGCGAGAGCCCTCAGATCAGCTTTGGGCTAGGCACCCCGGAAGAAACCTGTGGGGGAGGTGGGGGTGCCCCAGGTGAGTGCGTGGGGGAGAAAAGGGGCTTTGTGGGGAGTGGGCTCCGCTGCTCTTCAGCGAGCATCTTGCTTTTGCCCTCACGAGCTGCTGCCCGCGTCGCCGCCAGAGGGGGCCCTCGCGCCCTCCCCCGGGAGGGACGCTGGTCCTAGCCCCAACAGGAGTCTGCGAGCGCCCAGACTAGCCCGCGGACAATTGCGGAGTCCCGTCCGCCAGCGCCCACGGCGGGACTGAGAGCCCTGCTTCCGGAGGGGGGTCCTCTGGGGCATCTCCGCTCGGGTCCCCGGCGGGGCCGCCTTGACAGACGAGGAGGGATGCGGAGTCGGGCCCCGAGGCATGGGTGGGTTCAGGAGATGGGAGGCACGTCTGGGACCTACCGGGCCAGCCCCTTGACAAGCCCGCGCAGTCCGGATCCGAATCCCTTGCGGAGTTCCCCGGAGCGCGGGCCGAGCCAAGTCATCTGAGCTCCTCCGGGGTGGGGAAGCTGGGAGGGACCGCCCGGTGCGGGGTCGCGAGGCGCGCGCAGACTTTTCTGCCGAGGCGGGCGCGAGCGGGGGCTTGGCCCGGAGACCGCAAGGCTCCGCGGGGACCCAGGGCGCCGGGGCGGGGCTGCATTCTGGGTCCGTTAGCTCAGCAGTCCCGGAGACTCCCGGAGGCTGACTCACTGCCTCCGTCACACACACAAACACAGCTCCCCACCAAGTCGGATGTCCCACGCGGCAACACGCACGGCGCGCCCAGCCTGCATCACCCACGCACACGCCACAACCCCCGAGTCTCTCACCGCCCTGAGACGCGCGGAACCCTTCCTTACACACGCCCAGAACTCGACACACACAGCACACCAGCGCAGCCCTCGCATGAAATCGCCATTCACACCTGTAGCACCCGCGCTCACGCAGTTCCCGCTCACGCACGCACACCCCCATTCACACACACACACCCCGCTGCTCACACACCCTTCTCACGTGCAGCCCCCCACCTCACTCACCTTTACACGCGCAGCCCCTTCATACACTCACATTCCTCACACGCGCAGCCCCCCACACACACACACACACCACCGCTGCACACGCACGCCCCCCTTCCCGCAGCTGTCCCGCGGGGAGCGGGCGGTGTCTGTGGGGCCACCCGTTTCCCCAGCCGCGCAAACAAGCGGCTCCTTCTCCCCGCTGTGCCAAAGAAAGGCCGCTTGTCCGGCGTCAGCCGCGGGCGGGGCGACCCCGCCGGCGGCCCAACACTGCGGCCTTGTCCCACCTGGCGGACACCCCACTCCGCCTACGATTTGGGGGAGGTGCAGTTCCCCGCACCCCCACCTCCACCCCTCACACAAATAAAAAGCGGAACCCCAACTGCGCTCACGCCTCTCTCCCCCGCTCGGTGTCCTCTTCCTGGACCGCCTGCGCTCTCCCCCGCTCCTGGGCCCCGTGGCTGCCCGGTCTCCCTTTTCTTCCTTCAACTTCCCGTCTCTGCGCCCCGCAGTTTCCCCTCCAACTGTGCTCGGTACCTTCTGTTGTTTCCCTGGTCCTCAAGGGACCGTCTGTCCGTCTCCCCCGTCGCTTTCTAGGTCTTCCAGTTGGTCTACCTCTCTGTTCCTGCCTCCCCCCAACTCTGCGTCCCCCGGACTCGATCCTGTTTCCCCATCTCCGTCCCTTTCTCCCCGAACCTCTCTGCCCTCACCTTCCCTCCCCAGCTCTCATTTATCCTCCTCCCTCAGTCGCCCTCTTCCATTTTCCCCTCCACATCCCTTCGTCTCCCCTTCCCTGTCCCGTCCCTCCGCAGACCCCCCATTTTCCTCATCTGTCAGTTCAGTTGTCTCATCAGCAGGCCTTCCCGCACCCCACCCCGCCCCCGCCCCGCCCCGGCAACCCGCCGGCTGAGCTCCCGGCCTCGGTTTCCTTCCCGACTCCTTCCTCCGGCCGCGGCCCTTCCTCGAGGGCGGATGTGCGCCGGGAAGGCGAAGGCGGCGGCGGGCCGAAAGCACCTCGGCTCGGCCCCGCAGGCCTCGGGCCACAGCCGTGCGACGCCCGGGGCAAGGCCCCGGCGGGCCCCCTGGCCACAGGTGAGGGGTGCAGCGGACCGGCGGGGGTTCGGGGGAGCGTCGGAGTAGGGGCGCCGCCGAGGGCCGGGCTTCCTTTCGCTCCGGGGCCAGCCTTGGACCTCTCGTCTGCGGCCCAGCTTGGAGCCTGGATTTCCTTCTGTGCCTGTCGGTTCCAGACCTTTTCGGCCCTTCCTGGGGCCTCTCTCCGCCCTCATTCGGGTGCCGAGATCCCCAAGCGGCGACGCTGGACGCCCCACTCGGCGGAGAGGGCTGGGGACTGGGTGGGCTGCTGATCCCACTGGGCGAGGAGGCGGGAGGGGCCGGACCGGAGTGGGGTCACCTGCCAGCGCCCGGGCCTCGCCCCCCCCACACACACTCTGTTCACGTCAGCACCAGACACCCAGGCCTCTGCTGCCCTACTATGTGGAGGTGCTTGGGCATCTGTGCCCGCGAGAGCCGGCACTGACCGTGGCGCTTCCCTCCCACCCCTCTGGCTGGAGAGCGGTACTCACACTGCACGGGACTTCTCTTCCCTCCCCTCCCCTCCCTTCCCCTTCCCTCTCCATGTCTGTTTCTCTGTCGCTCTCTCTCTTTTTTTTTTTTTTTTTGCAGCGGGTTTCCCAGAAAGGCCGCAGAGGTCGGGCGGGGTGAGCCGGATGGATAAATACAGCGGGAAGTGGTGGATAGCCCAGTCCGACTGAGGCGGGTCGGCCCGTTGGGGGCGCCCGAGCGCAGCGTGGCTTCGCCATCCAGGCCAGGGGTGGGGTCCGAGGACAAGGCGCTCCCAGGTGGTTGCTCTCTGGGCCGCGGAGCTGCCCCTTGGTCAGAGCACCGCTTGAGTACTGAGACGCGTTAGTTCAGCTGTATCTTTCCACCTCACCTGGATTAGGTTTCTGAGCTGGGGCCACAGCCTCGCGCCTCCCAATCTCTACATCTTTTCTTATCTTCTCCGTCTCTCCCTATGCCTCTCTCCTTATCTCTCCCTCTCCTTATTCCCTTCTCTCCTCTCCTAATCACTCTTGTTCCCTGTCAACCTTATCCCTTAACAATCTTTATCTCCACTTGAAATTCGTTGATGTAAATAAACGAGCACACCCTCAGCTGCCTTGCAAGGGTGATAGTGACAAGTTTGACAGATGAAGACACTGAGGCTCACAAAAGTGAAGTGACTTATTCAAGGTCATAAAGCTCATACTAATAATTGGCATATTTATAGTGCTTTGTACTTCACCGAGTGCCATTTAATAAAACCTGAATCTCCAGACAATTGTTTTTTTAAAAACTAACAGTTTTATTGAGGTATAATGCATATACCATAAGATTCACTTAAGTGTACATTCAGTGATTTTTAGTATACTTACAGAGCTGTGCAACCAGCTATCATCACAATTTAGTTTTAGAATATTTCTATCAGGCCAAAAACAAATCTTGTGCCCATTTATTAATCACTCCCCATAACAGGCAAGCACTAATCTAGACAATCTTTTTATTATTATTATTTTTTAGTCATTGTTCCGTTTTTATAGAGAATGATCTGATACTCAGAGACAAGTAAAATTAACTTGTCCAAGATTTCACAGATAATAAATAATAAAGTCAGGGTTAGACAATAAATGAGGATGCCTTTTGTTCACCATTATTTATTGTTTTGTTTTCCTTACCCTCTCTTTTATATAAACTCCCCATTCCCAACCTCACTGTCTCTTGCCTCTCCTCCTTCAGAGAATGCTGAAGGATTTCCCTGAGCTGAAAGAAGCAGTGCAACAGTCTATCCCTGGAAGTCGTTTCCCATGGCCAGATCTCTGGAGGAGGTGCCAGGCCAGCTTGTGCCTTGGTATAGGTTAACGGCCTTTGCCTTCTCTCTTCCCAGGCAGACTTGGGGTGGGCCCCAGGCCCTGTTCTGGCCTCTCTTCCTCCAGCTTGGGTGGAAATGGTGACGGAGATGATGCAGTCAAAGCCCGGAAGGGTGGAAGCTGGGAGGGTAAAATTAGTAACTCTGGCTGAGGCTCTTGGGTCCCACTGCCAGGGTCAGACATTCCGTGGAATGCTGGCTCCTGCCCCCACTTCCTCTCCAAGTCACCTGGTAGATGGCTAGAAGAGAAAGTGGAGGGAAATCCTGCCTTCCTGGGTCTCCCTCCCTACCTTCAGCCACAGTCTTCTCAGCTTTCCCCAGTAACATTTCAGCAACAAGTGAGAAGTTCTTACCTTACTTAGCAAGTTGATCAAGGGATGGGCATGTAGGCACACATGAGTACACAAAGGTCCTTCCTCACGTTTCTCAGGTGCCAAATATGTGAGCTAAGGAGAAAGAGATGGGTGAGGAAGAGTTCAAGTTCTGGCTCCAAAACCTGTGTTACCCCTGGTTCTAAGGATCTAAGCTTCCTAAGCACCAAATCAGGTTAAGACCCTAAGATCCTATTTTCCCGGAATTAGTCAGCACTGAGTTGGGTTGTTTTTTTTGTTTTGTTTTGATTGTTTATTTGTTTGTTTTGCGGATTGTGTTGGGGGTGAGATTGCTTTCTAAGGAAGAGAGGGTGCAGGAGTTGAGACATATAAAGATGGCAGGAATAGTTGAGTTTTTCTTGTTGTGTCTCCTTTAAGAAAATATCCTATTGAGACCCATGGGAAAATAGACAAAGGGAGAAGAAGAAAGGGAAAGATTGGTGAAGGGCGCTCCTATCTCAGCCCTGCCACCCAGCTGGGGGCCCTCTGGCTACCAGTGTCCCTGGAGGGGGTTCCTTGGAGTCAGCTTCTCTCACTAAGGTCGATTTTCCCCACCCTGCTTACAGCTCCAGATGTCTGAGGGTCCTGTCCTCAGCTGCCAAAACCTGGGTCCTGGGTATTAGAGGCAAGAAAGCCCAGAAATACAGGTTGGGCCTTATAGGACTTTCTTTTTCTTTCTTTTTTTTTTTTTAAGATTTTTATTGGGGAATTGGGGGGATGGGAACAGTGCGGGGGAATGGGGGGAAGGGGAACAGACAAGTTGCTGTCATTTTGTTCTTCAGTCTAGTTGTGGAGGACGTTGCTTCACTGGCCCAAGTTGGCACCATCATTGCGCTCTTCCCGGGCGAGGCACATGAGTCGCCGGCTTCTGGATAGCTGCTGGCCACTCACGCTGGCTGCTGGCTACACACGATAGCCCATGGCAACCCACTGCCACAGGGACTGCAGCCTAAGCCGTCAGGGCGACTCACGGCAGCCCAGCTCCAGGTCGAGCTGTTGTTCAGCATCTTAGCTGTAGAGGGCAGTGTCACTGGCCCTCATATGTGGGATCCGAACCGGGGCCCTCTGGCGTCCCAAGCCAGTTCTTAACCATCGTGACACTCTGCCGGCCCCTTATAGGTCTTTTTGAGCTTTAAAGGCTCAAAGGGCCAGGACTGGTGTGATGTATCCATGCTGAAGATGTGGCACCGCCATCCCCCAGAAAGCTCCTGAGCTGCTTCCACTTTTCCTTCAGCATAAGCATGCTGGAAATGATGGTGCCTGGTGCTGCCCCTGCCCTGAGAGCCCTGCCACAGAGCCTACTCCTTTCTCTTTTTTGCCCTGGCCTCTTACTTCATCTGCTTTCTGCTGTGTCCCCAGGGACCCTAGGGACCCAGAACCATGGACACTCTCAATAGGAGCCAGGTAGGCTCTGGATGCAAGACCCAAGCAATGGTGCAGGTGAGCGGGGTTGGGGCAAAAGGACTATTGGTGAGGACGGGTTTGGATCCTCTATGCGCCTGTGGTCCCAGCCCAAGGATGAGAGTGGCAGTTCCTCTCTGCCCTTCCCAGGTCCCAAGCCTATTAATGGCTAAGTCTTTATCTGAATCAGGTTAATTGGTTTACCCAGAAAATATCCTTGGAAAGTCAGGAAGTGATTTTCAGATTGACTCTGAGCTGTATTCCTCTCCTCCATCCATGTCCCCACCCTCTCGTGATTTAGTTTAACAGGGGCAAGCATTAGCCAAGCAGATTGCCACAGACAAGTCTACAGGGACAAGTCTTAATTGGCCCTTCTCTTCAGTACCCCCTCCTTTTACCCAGTGCCTCCCTGCTCCCCTTATTTCTCCTTGTTTCTGTCTTAATAGACAAAAGGGGCAGTTAAGCCAAGACTTGAGATAAATCCTGTGGGACGAGTTAGTGGCCTAGATTCAGATCTAATTACAATTTAGTGGAATAACACTCTGTGCAAGATTTTGTGCTAAGCCTTTCAACACCCTCAGAGCCCTTTGGAGAGGGCAAGTGCTGGGGAGAGTGCTGGTGTGACTGGGACTAGGGTGGTAAAGTGCTGGCCTGGAGTCTCTAATGATGCTCATCCCCCACCCCCACTGCCTACAGAAAGGACCCTTGGACCTGATAGAGACAGGCAAAGGGCTGAAAGTGCAAACCGACAAACCCCATCTGGTGAGCCTGGGCAGTGGGCGACTCAGCACAGCTATCACCCTTCTCCCGCTGGAGGAAGGTAAGTTGAGGGGCACCCCACTTGCCACCCCTCCATCCTTATAGACATTCCTGCCCTGGGGTCCAGGCATGTGTTGGGGCCTTTCTGCTCTTGGCAGTGTTCACTTCCCCCAAATGGGAAGCTGTACCATCGCACCCCACCAGTTTGCTTCCTTTGTCTTGTCTCTGGATCCCCAGACTGCCTGCCCTTTTTGGTAGATAATCTGGCTCCATGACTGGGATTAAAGATCAGCTTAAAAACAAGGAGGAGAGCACTGAAACAGGAGAGCACATTGCTCTTAGCAACTAATATGACCAAGAAGAGAGGGGGCCCCACTCCAGGGCAATGCCAGGCATGGGAGAAGGTACGGTGGAAAATGGAGAGATAGGAATAGGGGCAAATCTCTCATGATAAGGCCCTGGCACAACCTTCTTCACTTTGCCCTTCCTCTCTTCTCCACTGGCTGCACTTGTTGCCTGGGTGATACTACATTCCTCACATTTTCCAAATACCAGTCCCAGAGGCTCTGCCAGGGGAGGGTCTGTACACACAGAAGCAGTGAGGGGAGAGGCTGCACTGAAGAGAGGGAGTAAGGGAGAGCAAGGGTGGCAGGTGGTAGAAAGGAGGGAGAGAAGAAGGAGAGAGGGAGATTTAGAAGAAAGGAGGGGGGAGCGTGATGAAGGAGACAAAGGACTTAGGGAGGGAGAGCTGCAGAAACTAAGGGAAGGTCTACAGAAAAGAAGCTCCCCCTTTTCTACTCTATCTGTGGAGTCTGGATCTTACTGTGCCCTCTGGGCCTTCCCATCTCTGGTCCAGAGTTTTCTCTGCCTGAGAAGAGCTTCTACCACTTACTGTCGTGACCAGGCTCAGGGGCCCAAAAAGGGTGACTAGCAGTGGGCAGTGAGTCTCCCTGGAGTAGGAGGTGGAAATGTATTTCCACTGTGGCCCTCCTTGCCCTGTCCCTGCCTCCTCAGCCTGGACAAATCCTCTGACTCAGTTTGCCTCCTGTTTTCAGGGAGAACGGTGATTGGCTCTGCGGCCAAGGACATCTCGCTGCAGGGTCCAGGCCTGGCTCCAGAGCACTGCTACATTGAGAACCTGCGCGGCACCCTCACCCTCTACCCTTGTGGCAATGCCTGCGCTATTGATGGGCTCCCTGTCCGACAGCCCACCAGGCTCACTCAGGGTAAGGTTTGATACCCTAAAAAAAGGGGGCCTCTGTTTAAAAGCTTGTGCATGATAAGTGCAGGGGGAGCTTGCTGTGGTGGTTACCATGGTAACTGCCTGACAGACCATAGTGGGGTGGGGTGCTCAGGTGCATCTGATGTGCCTAAACAGCATCCCAAACCCTTCTGGCATCCAGACTTGTCTTCAGCCTGCTTTTCTTCTCTGGTCACCCCCATCCTTCCTCCCCACACCACAGGGAGAGAAGGGGTTCCAATTCCTGCTCTCAAAGGGCATGGGGAGTGGTGTAGTGGTCATTAGTGGTTGTTAGGGGAGAGCAATTGGAGCAGCAATGCGGGCAACAATGGCATTGTACCACGATGCCAAGTGGGACTTGTGTTCTGAAAAGCTGTAGAGGTTGGGGAAAGGAGGACAATACCACTTGATGGGGATGGGGCAAGGGCAAAATTTGATGGCAAAATCTGAGGACATGCCCACTCCTGTTAAAAAACTGTTGACAGTAGCTTTTGGGTCATGAATATGGTTACCACTGTGTTTCCCAAAACAACAGGCCATTCTGTTGTGTAAGGTAGCTCTAAAAACTGGCCCCCTAGTTACTATGTTGACCAGGCAGGTAAGGGGTTGGCCCAAGTGGCACTTTGACAGAACAAGTGTGTTTGCCCTGGCCATCAATTTATATGGTGAATCATCATATTAGGGGAGTGAGAAAAGCAGATTTGGGTGTGGGCTAGTGGTGGGGCTGACATGAGAATGAATGGGAGCTCTGGGCTAAGCCTGGCTCTGAGCAGGAGGACTGGTATCCTGGCCTTATTTTCTGAGGACTCGTACCGCTCACTGGCTGTAAGCTCCTTTACAGTAGAAATCCCACTCACTCCATTTTCCCTCTCTCCTTCTTTTCACACCCCTTGGGGTCTCTTTAAATGCTCCTCCCTTCACAGCTGACCCAGGAGACCCAACCTTGCCTTACTCCTTTCTTCCTGCCCTTGGGTTAGGGTCTGGTGGACAACTGAGTTCAGCGAGGCAGGTTTGCCAGCAGCAGCAGGCAGGCCCTTGCCACCTCCATAGCTTTGAGGTCTCTGACTCCCATATGAGAGAAGGAACCCCCATAAATTGGGACTTTGGCTGTGATGCCATCTGGTTCCTGATAGTCCTCTTCAATCTCAAAGAGAGACTCTTCCCCAAGATTTGGGTGCATGGAAGTGAGACAGAGTAACAAGGAGAGATAGGGGCAGCGTTCAAAGACAGCTGGAGCAGGAGCCCAGCTCTTACTGCTGCAGCCCCAAATCCCTCACATCCATGGACAAGAACATTCTTCCCCTATGTTGTGAGCAGGGTGGAGGAGCCAAGGCGCTTGCCCGGTCTTAGGTCTCTCTTGCCCAGTCTTCTCAGTGTGCATCATTTAGCTTCCTGAGAAGAGGGAGGGCCTGGGCTAAGATGGATTCTTAGGCATTTCCTGTGGCTCCAGTGACCCCCCAACTCTTCCCTAGCCAAAGGCCCACCCTGCCAAGTATGTACCCTCCTACTCTCTTCTGACCCTAAACCTCTTTCCCTTTTTTTTCCCTCCCACCCCACAGCCTTCTTGTCTAGGCTCGCCTGTCCCAGAAGCTTGGCAGCCTGGGGAGGGGTAGGCAGAGGCACAAAGGAACGGGTGTTCTCCCCAGCACTCCCCCTCCCCTGGGCTCCAGGAGCTGAGGGTTTCCTTGTCTCATCTCTGGAGCAAGGCACCAAGCCCAGCCCTGCCTGGCCCCACTCCGGACATTCTTGGGAGTGCGTTTCCCTGGAAACTGGGTGGCTCTGGGGTGCATGTGCTATCTCTGTGTTTCTGTGTAACTGGAGTGTGTTTATGTATCTCCGGATGTGTCTGTGACTCTGGGCTTGTATATCTCTGTGTTTGTGTCCTTCCTTGTGTTTGTGGGTCATGATGTTTGAGTAGCGGGCAAGAGTGAACTTAGGACTGATGGTACTCCTATGTGTCTATAACTCATTGGCTGCGTGCCTATCTGTAAGTATATGTGCACATGTTCCCTCTCTAACCTTGTAGAAGGCACCCTCCTCTTTGAAAAACAGAGGGCTACCCTAGAAATAACAAGGAGCCTGCTCTGGCTGGGCCAGGCCTTAGATGCATCATTCTGGGCACTGTGCCCAGCCATAGGCAACTTAGAGGCACACTACATGACCGGCAGAGATGGCAGTGACAGGCTCTTCTAGCAGGAATATGCCTGGGTCATGGCTGGGCGGAGGTAGGCAGAAAGCAGATGCCAACCTTTAGCTAGAGCTATGGACATGGGAGCCTGAAGTGAGGAAGCTGGAAAGATCCTGATCCCACTCCCATAGCCGGGTATCTTGGCAAAGCCCATGCTGCCTTCTTCTGTACAGAGCAAGAGGTGGAGCTGGGAATAGGACCAAGGAAATAAGGAGGAATCTTAATCTGGGTCTAGGCTGCCCCACCCTGGGACCACAGCACCAGACCAGACCACATGAAAGATCTGGGAGGGGACTAAGTAGGGGAGGGCCCAGAAAGCCACACACTCAGGGCCAGGCTGTCTAGACAGTAGGTCCCCATCCACTCCCAGCATTTGCTGCCAGCGCTTGTCTCCACTGCTCCTTCACTCCCTAAGCCCCTCATTGGTGGGTAGGGGCTTGTGTGAGGGCCAGCAGGGGAAACTCCTTGGGACATGACTGGGGAGCCAGGATTCCTGGGTTATCCAGTTGCCTCCCTCTGGGATTCGGGACACTGAACCTTTTCCCCTCCCCCCCAATTATCAATTATTCCTTCTGTAAAATGGGACCGAAGCCTCCAGCTGTCCTCTGTTATAAGACTGATAAAGATCTTGACTAATAAAGCTCAAAGGAATGAAAGACAAAACAAAGGCTCCTAGTTCCCCACATTTGTGCCTGCCTCCTGCCCTATTTAATCACTGGCCGGCATCCTCTGTGTCTGTCCAGCTGGCCATCACCGTTTCCAGACTGATGAATCACTCTTCTTCAGAAGATTTTTTTTTTAAAGGTTCCCCCTATTTCGCATTTGACCCTATATGAGCTTTCCTTTTTCCTTTAGAAGGGGAATAAGATACATGTGCAAATGTGAGTGTATGAGCGTGTGTGAGTAGGGTGGCAGTATGGATAGGTGTTTAGCAAAAGTAGAGAAATCGCTTGATTATTTCTCTAAGGCAGCAGTTCTCAACCTTCCTAATGCCGCGACCCGTTAATACAGTTCCTCATGTTGTGGTGACCCCCAACCATCAAATTATTTTCGTTGCTACTCTATAACTGTAATTGTGCTACTGTTATGAATCGTAATGTAAATATCTTTTTGTTTTCCTATGGTCTTAGGCGACCCCTGTGAAAGGGTCGCTTGACCCCCAAAGGGGTCATGACCCACAGGTTGAGAACCGCTGCAGTCTCTAAGGAGATTGACTTTTGATTTCAGAGTCTCTCCAGGGACTGTGTGAAAGGATAGTGCCTGAGTGAGTGTTTAAGTAAGAGGGGGTTGGTGCCTGCGGGGTTGTGTGTGTGAGCATAAATGTATGCGAGAGACAGGGCATGTTTAAGTGGGATGTTTTTGTGACTCAGTGTGCATAGCTGAGGTGCTGTCTGTGTGACTGAGCAAGTGTTGGTGTGTATCTGAGAGAAAGTGTGTGGGGCTGTGTGCGTGTTGAGCATATTGAGTGTCTGACAGAACACAGTGTGTCCCTTAAGGTTCTGGTGTCCAGAGACCAGGTCTGTGGAACTCTCTGGGGCCCAAGCTGGGTGGTAGGTACTTGCCTGGCCCAGAACCTCAGCCTGCTCCTGGGGGCTCCAGAAGCAGGTGACACTGTTTCTCAGATGGAAAGGGTATCTCATTGGGGTGGGAAAGTTCTTTGCTGGGGCTAGTACAACTGGTGGTTGTGGTTGGGAGGAAGGCTTGGCTTCTAAACCCTAGGGAAGTGGGCTGGCTCTGAAGGGGCAGTGCTTGGTCTCGCCTGGGTGGTAGGGTGAGGTGAGCTGCTTGGGAGTGTGGGGAGCAGCAAGGGGGCAGAAGAGGAGGTGTTTAGGTTGGAAACAGGAGCTGGGTTCAGTGCTGCTCACACTGCACAGGGCACTGCTTTGGCCTGAACTTCCAGCCTTGGAGGGCAGACTGAGGGCCAGAGCAGAACCTAATAACCCAGCTGGGTCCCTGTAAGTTCCCATCTTCTCCTCTCTGATATATATATAGAGCCGTGGAATGTCAAGAGCTTAACCTCGGCTGTCATTGAAACCAACCTCCTCATTCTGTAGATAAGGCCAGAAGGTGTGACTGGCCCAAGGTGACCAGCCAGTCAGGGGCTGGGCTGGCCTCCGGTGACTTCCTACCACCTAGGGCTCTCAGTGAGACCCCCTTCTCCTCACTCCTGCCTCCTGGCTCTTTCCCCTCTGGACTCTGTATTTACCGCTCACCCTTCCTTCTGTTACCTCCCTTGAGCCTTTCCACCCTGCCCCACTTCTGCTCCTGCCCCTGGCGCTGGAATCCCGGGCTGGCTCCGTCTCTGCATCCTCCCGCCCCGCCCTCTCCATCCCGCTCCCCTCGCTTCTCCTCCATCACTTCCTCTTCCCCTCCTCCTCTCCTTTGTCCCTCCCCCTGGCTCCCTTCCCCCCGCCGCTGGTGGCAGGTCCGCCCCTCCCCGGGCATTGGTGGCTGCTCGCTGCTTTGCTGCTAGCTTCTCGGAGCCTGGAGCGGGCGCGCTGGAGGTCGGCCCGCCCCCTCAAAGGCCCGGGGCGGGCCCGGACCTGGAGGGTCCGAGCTAGTGGGGGCGAACGGTCCGGAGGTCCGGGTTCGGCGGTGAGTCTTCAGCCCGGGGCCAGCCGCAGCCCCCAGGCAGCCGGGTGTGGAAAAGCCCGGGCTGGGAGGGGTGAGGGTGGGGGTGCGAGCCAGCAGGGGGAGGGGTCCTCAGGCCCCTCTTTGGGAGCTTGAGGCTGTGAGACTCATTTGTGTGTGAGTCCTGAACATTTCTGAGTGGGAGGTCTGGGCTTGAGGCCACTCCTCAGCGGGGCTGACTTCATCTTCCCCAACTGCTAGGCAGTCCCTTTCATAGGACTGACCTCTGGATGGGGTTGAAGGGACCTGGTTAGGGTGATGGGAGCCTGTGTTATGCCTAAGAGGGGTCTCTGATAGAAAGGGCCAAGGCCCTTCCTTCCGTCTTCCCCTCATCCCAGCCTCCCTTTGGCCAGTCCATGCTATTTGTGTGGCCAGCAGGGCAGTGTGTGAGCATGTATGCCTGTGTCTGTTGGAGTCTATGTTTCTGTGAACGTGTGTGTGAGCCTGCTTGAGAGTGTGTTGTTTGTGCCTTTTCCACGTCGGTGTCTCGGAGATAGAATCCACCCTCTCCTTTGCCCTGTATTCCCCCCCCCTCCAGATGTGCAGTGCCACCACCAACCTGCACACTGCTAGACCCTGAGCCCTTTGGGAGTGGGGGCGGGGACACAGACCACAACTTTCCCTGGATGAGAAGGGGTTCTTGGGTTTTCTCAGTGGGCTGATCTTTGAAGGTGTGGGGCAGGAGTGGGTAGAGAGGTTTCTTCCCAGAAATAGGCTGGCTAAGCCCCTGGGGGCATGGGACCAGAGTTGGGGCAATGCCTGGGGCCCCTGAGTGCAAATAGAAAGTTAATTTGGGCAGAAGCTGGTCTGCTTTCAGTCCTGCTGCCATCCTGCCCGCTCTATTAATACAGATTCAGCTCTGCTGCCTGGCATCACCTATTTATAGCCCAGAGGCAGCATAGACACACCCCCTGTATGAAGGAGGAGGGTGAGGGGCAGAAAAGGGGGCAGGGAACTCCTAGCTATAGGAGCCAGGTCTAAGGGTCCTAAGATACCCACAGCCTCTTTGGGTGGGCCTGGCACTGATGGGCTGGAATCCACCCAGACTCCCTCCCTTGTTCCCAGCCTGGACTGTGTGATCTCCTTCGCTGCATCCATTTAGGGTGAGTGAGTCCATCTAGATCCTAAGGATTCATCATTAATTATCTCATTAAATGGTTGAAAGGAAGGGAGGGGCCTGGCAGGGCTGTTTCTGAAAAAGCTGTGGCTGTAATTAGGTGGACTGGTGGTTGGCTATTACTTATTCCTGTTATGATTACTCTGGGATCAGCTCCTCTGATTGGTGGCTTGGCAGGGAAAGCTTCCTCCTCTCCTAACCACCCATCAGCCTTTAGAATTGTTGGTGCCCGCCTGCCTGGGAGGGCCTATGGGTGTGCCAAAGAAGTGGGTGGCTTTGTCCACTATAGTTATCTGCTATGGGCTTCTCAGCCAGCTGCCCCCCACACCACACGGCAATGCCCTGGGTTCCATCAACAGGCTTTTCAGTGGGGGGCCTGCTAATGTACCCACATGGCCTGGGATGCCCCATGCCCCTGTGGCCTGCCTGAGCTGAACTGTCTCAGCGTCCAGGAATGTAGACTTCCCTGCCAGTCTTAGATCAGACTGGCATGAAGCTTGGGGTGCCAAGTGGCACCAGATTGGGTAGGCAGGAGGCTGGGGCCTGGCACCAGGGATGTGAACAAATTGAAAGGATGGGTGGTAGGGAGCACCAGGGCTGTGGCTTCTCCCAACATAGCATCTTTTGCAGGAGTCCTCTAGCACCTGGTGTGGCCAGGAGGAGTTCTGCCAGCCAGGCTTAGGCGCCTATGGGCACACCTGCCACTGTGCACACTCTTGGTGCCTCTGGCTACATTTTCTGGCTCTCAAGTCCCCCCCCCCGCCCCCCCCTTTTCATGCACTCTCACTTCCTGGGCAGGACTGGGCTTGTGTCTACTGCCTGGGAATGTGTTTGGCTGAGGCTGGGCCTATTGGCCTAGGCTTGGCTACATTCCATGGGAGATGTAGGAACAGGAGGATGTCAGGCCAGAGGGTGTGTTGTCAAAAAGAGGGTGGTGGCCACTCCTACTGTTGGAGGCAGGAAGCAAATTCTGGTCCCTGCAGGGGCATCTGATTCATGGTTTTCCCCTGTCGCCTATTGTAGAACTTTTTTGTGATCCTGGAAGTTGCTGCCTTTCAAACTTACCCTTCCATCCAAGGGGCAGATAGATGGTCATGGGTACAGGTTGGGTTGAGGGGAGAAGGGTGTCCATGTTCTCTGAATAAACATCTCCATTTACAGAGCACTTTAACATGCACTGTCTTATTAACTCTGCCAGGTCAGTGGTATTGTCCTCATTTGTCTCATGATAAAATTAGATTCAAAGGTAAAGGGACTTCACCTTAAGATCGCACAGCTAGTAAGAAGAGTTAGGCTAGTACTTGGATCTTGGGACTCACAAACTAGTGCTCTTCCACTCTGACCTGTGCTAGTGAACCCTGCCAGTGCCTATCTCAGGCACAGGCAGGGTCAGACCATGGACCTTGTGGGCACTGTGAGTGCAGGTGGGGATGACCCTTCGGAGCCTGGGGGGAGCCTGCTAGTGCCATGGGTGAGGGCCACCTGAGCCCTGCTGCCCTTCCAAGCGTTTTCTTTCTCCGAAGGCTGCATGTTGTGCCTGGGTCAGTCCACCTTCCTCCGCTTTAACCACCCGGCTGAAGCCAAGTGGATGAAAAGCATGATTCCTGCGGGCGGCCGGGCCCCTGGGCCCTCCTACAGCCCTGGCCCAGGTAGGTACCCAGTTGGGGCAGGAGGTTGGTTGGTGGTACCCCCTGGCAATCGGCCTTGCCCACTCCAGCCACGCCTGTAGTGTCAGGACAGGACGATACCCATGATCTAGGCTTGCTGCCACCTGCCATGGGCCACTGGTGGAGAATGCCAGGCAGTCTGGCCACTGGGAGAAATCCAAGAAGTGCTGCTTGGCTGAAATTGGGGAATCATGTGCCTGAGAGATGGAGGGCTCTGCCAGCCTGTGTCCCACTGCCCTGGAAGATGCCACCTCAGTGTCTGGGACCCTGACCCTCTTGTGTCACCACCAGGGAGGCTCACCCTGAAGGGGCAGAAGAAAGCATTAGGTTGAATCTCTGTAAGCGCTGGTGGGGCCTACTTGCTGGTAATCATATTCTTGGGCCCTGCCCCACCCCCAGGCCATGCCATGCCAGCTGATTACTCAGTGGAGCAGCTGCAGTTTGTGTGTGAATTATTGATCCCCAGAGGAGACTTGGTGATTGTCCCAGGGAACCAGCACAGCTCCCCTCAGCCCAGATGCCTAGGGGGGAGGGTGCAGACCAAGAGGCTGCCAGGGGGCTTACCATCCCAGACTTTGCATGTGCATTTAGATGGCTATGGGATGATAGGTGTTAACATGGTTTTGGGGCAGGTGGACATGTATGTCAGGTATACCTAGCAGAATAGCATCAGTGGCTTAAATGGATAGCCTGGGGATCTGAAGAAAGATGGGTAGTCATTGGGGTCACCAGTATCCATGGTAACTCCTCTGACTGTGGTCCTACACAGTTCCCACAATTTTGGACCCAAACTCAGTCTTGCAAAGGCTTTTCCTTCTCCTCCTCCATCCCCCGCCTCCCGTCTTTTCTAGCCACTTGGTAGCTAAGAAGCCTGGGCTCCCAGTCCACTCCCCGCTTAGCTTTGTCCTGACCCCACTCTAGCCTTGTCATGCCACTCCATCACCTGTTTGAGGCAGTGGTTCCAGGGACTCCTGGCTGGTTGACTAGGGCTGGGGCAGGGTAAAGGCAGGCTTTTGCTGGTGTGGCTTAATGGGCTAATTGGAGGCACTGAGCTGCACCTAGGTGCACCTGGCTTCCAGGAACTAGCCATCAGTGCCAGGCCTCTGAATGGACAAAGTGTTGCAGCACTCACTTCTTGTCCAGCCTTGGAGGCTTTGTGTGGTTTTTTCCCCTGGGTCTTGGCTGCTGCACTAAGAGGCCCTATGTCCCATTGGATTGGGACATCCCTGGAACTTTTGACCAGCTCCATAGCATGCCGCATCCCTTTTGCAAAATGTTCATCTGCTCTCCTGAAGGAGAGGTTCAGAAGGTTGGAGAAACCAAGGCAGGGAGAAATGTAGTTTTGGGGTGAATCAGCAACAACTAGGCCTAGAAGAGCCCGGCATTATTGCCAAGTCTATCCTAAGTCATAAAATGTTAGAGCCAGAAGCTCTCTGCCCATCCTCTTCCTTTACAGAAGGGGAAACTGAGGGCAAGGTGACTTGCGTAAGGTTGCACACCAGGTCACTGGCAGAGCTGGCTCCAGAACCCAGATCTCCAGGCTTCTTCTCCAGTCTATTAGGAGGAGGTGGGGTAGTGCCTTTGCTATTATGCATATGCAACTCCGCAAAGTTGAAAACCAGGGCCTGAGGCATCTTTGCATTTCCCTTTAGCAGAATCAGAAAGCCTGGTGAATGGGAACCACACTCCACAGCCTGTAACCCGGGGACCCTCGGCCTGTGCCAGCCACAGTTCCCTGGTGAGCTCTATTGAGAAGGACCTGCAGGAAATCATGGATTCACTGGTGCTAGAGGAACCTGGAGCTGCTGGAAAGAAGCCTGCCGCGACTTCCCCACTGTCGCCGGTGGCTAATGGTGGTCGCTATCTGCTGTCCCCTCCAACCAGCCCTGGCGCCATGTCTGTGGGCTCCAGCTATGAGAACACCTCTCCAGCCTTCTCTCCACTCTCCTCACCAGCCAGCAGTGGAAGCTGTGCCAGCCACTCACCCAGTGGGCAGGAGCCAGCGCCTTCCATGCCCCCACTGGTGCCTGCCCGTTCCTCCAGCTACCATCTGGCCCTGCAGCCCCCACAGTTCCGACCTAGTGGTGCCCGCTCTTCTGAGAGCCCCCGGCCGGGCAGGAAGGGGGGTCATGAGAGGTCTCCCAGCCCTGGCCTTCGGGGTCTACTGACAGACAGCCCTGCAGCTACTGTCTTGGCGGAGGCCTGCCGAACCACTGAGAGCCCCCGGCTGGGTGGGCAGCTGCCTCTGGTGGCTATCAGCCTGAGTGAATGTCCAGCTTCCAGTGCCCACAGCCAACCCACCAGCATTCCTGGCAGCCCCAAGTTCCAGCCTCCAGTCCCTGCTCCCCGAAACAAGATTGGCACACTTCAGGACCGCCCTCCCAGCCCTTTCCGTGAGCTGCCAGGTACTGAGCGGATGATGACAGCCAGCCCCTCACGCCAGCTGGTGGGCCGAACATTTTCAGATGGGTCAGCCACCCGCACCCTACAGCCTCCTGAGAGTCCCTGCCTGGGCCGGCGGGGCCTGGAGAGTATGCGAGAACTCCCTCCCTTGAGCCCAGCTCTATCCAGACGGGCTCTTTCCCCCATGCCCTCCCGGAACACCCCAGATCCCAAACTAACCAGGGAAGTGGCAGAGAGTCCCCGGCCCCGGCGCTGGGCAGCCCATGGGACTTCACCAGAAGACTTCTCCCTGACACTGGGAGTACGGGGCCGTAGGACGCGGAGCCCTTCACCCACACTCGGGGAGTCCCTCGCACCCCGCAAGGGCAGCTTCAGTGGCAGGCTGAGCCCAGCCTATAGTCTGGGTTCTTTGACTGGGGCTTCACCGCGCCACAGCCCCCGTGCCCAGAGGAAGCTCTCCAGCGGGGACTTACGCGCGCCTGTCACTCGAGAGCGGAAAAATAGCATTACGGAGATCAGTGACAATGAGGATGACCTCCTGGAGTACCACCGGCGGCAGCGCCAAGAGCGGCTTCGGGAGCAGGAGATGGAGAGGCTGGTGAGCAGATGCCAGGGAGGCTGCTGACATCCACCGCAGGGTGTCTGCCAGGGTGTGGGCAGGCCAGCTGGCCGAGTGGGAGGGGCCCATGGACAGGGCCTGGGCTTCTTAAGCTTCCCACTTCCAGGATACACAGTCGTGACCAGTATCTCAAGGTTCTGATGCCCTGAAGAACTTTCTTTCAAGTCTCTAAGGCTTTATTTTATTTTATTTTATTTTATTTT